CGAATTTCATCTGTCACAAGTTATCGCTACAGCATTATCTCCAGAAAAAACTGTCTTGCTTATGTTAAAGCTGTTGATATGGATCACGTTAATCCTGTCTTGTTTTAAATTAGTGTGCTGTTATTTGCAATAAAAACATGCATGCTTATACAAACTGTAATTTTACAATTGAACACTGCATTGCCAAATTTGGAAATTGTCTGTGCTATATTTTCAATATCATTAATCGAAGCAATTCTATCACATTATTGAAGTTGCATTCAACAACAAAAAAAAGATTTTTTCAGGAGATAACTCATAAAGTTGTACTAATAAACCACAAAAATGTATTGAAATTGAGACAGAAAGCATATTCTATGTCGAAACCTTGCTCCCACTATGCTGACCAAAATAAACGCAGACAACTCGTATCTACGTCTTCGGAATTTAAAAGAAGATGCAGAGAAGCGTGGATAGGAAGTAATCAGCAATTGTATATGCCCTGTGACTGAACTTTATAGTTTTCGTTAACAAATAAATCACATACACATTTCGAACGTAACACCGCGCACGTCGAACTCATCATCACTGCACGTGCGCCTCACCACTAAATGCACGCGGATTTCCAGAGACGAGATGCATTGACAATCTAAAAATATATTTGCTTCTTTCGGGAATGATAATCATGATGATAATCTAGACGGTATGGTTTTCGTAATGCTGAATGAACGATTCCGTTGGTATGAACAGCTATAAAATAAATGTGTATACACTGAGTGATTTGTTGATGTATGAAAAGACGTGCAGAAAAAGACTATTTATTTTGGTTGGAGACAGCTTCCCGGGCGACTAATATTCGATAAAAAATTATGTTATTGCTAGAAACAGGACTCGTATAATTTTAGATCGCTCAGTCAGATAAAATTTAGATAATACAATCGTCCTTGAATATAATAAAATGTATTGCTGTGCAAATTCTAGATAATTATTTGAAAAAAACAAATAAGAAATTGCACGTAGGCACCCAATGAATATATTTTTTTTCAAGATAATGTAATCTCGTTTTGTAAAAAAATAGAGAGTTGATCATACTTTGTTATCACATTAGAATTCTCACCTTTTATTTCAATCAAAATGTTTGTATAATTGGAACAACAACACCCCCCTCCCCCGCAATGTTATCAAAATTTGGGAATCTTATAAAAATATACTTTTTGGACCCGAGCACCACCACTTCTGTCAGTTAACAGTTATCACATTAAATAGTGTAAAACTAGAATTCAATATGGCCAAATAGTTGAATGATAGATGGTTAGACTTGCAATTGGAACACAACGTCTTTGACAAAAAAAAATACAGTATATTTAAAAAAACTATATAATTATTATATTTCAATCGACGGGTATCTTGGTGACTCAAAGACGGAAATAAATTGTCAAGGAAAACGTGTTTAATGTCATTACTGCATTTCATTTGGAAAACAAATTGCGTCACAAGAAGACGATGTCGAGATTGCAGGGTAGAAATACTATCTCAGTGACTTGTGATAGTGTGCACAACACTGTTTTTTTGATCTATTACTGTCCGTTTTATCCAATTCTTTGAGGCGCAATCCCAGTTTGCAAATGAAATGAGAGACGTAATGAGCTTTTGGAAAGGAAATACAATGATGAACAAGAAGAGAGTTATCACATCCAGCCACACTGAAACGTTGAAATCAGCTGTTGAAATCAGAGTTCTAATTGGAATCTGCATTTCCGATAATAAAGAGTAATGAATCTTCTTTTCTTTACATTTACAAAAATAGATTGGAGAGCAGGCCAATTAATTAATTTGTTGAAAATCTTCTCATTTGTCAAAATGCTCGTACATTTCATCCGTGAAGATAACATTGACACAATACCTGCCATTCGCACCAATCACCGTGATGTTGCTCCTGGTTTATACTCAGCATAAACGATCAAGCCGAACGAGTTATGCAACTTTTTTCACACAGCTAAAATCGAATCAATTCGCTTGTAATTCCTTAAGAGTACGTTATAGTTGATTAATGGCAAGTAATTCTTTAGTTTGTGTCACGTGATTACGCGAGTACGTCATCGCGTCAACCGTTTTTGTGGTACCTAATTTTGTTGTTTGCCGAGCTTGTCACAAAAATAACTTTTCAAATATTTATCTTTCACACTACAAGGTAGGCAAATGGAGTTGATCTCGGTTACAACGACCAATGACACAATAAACAAGAAAGACGTGATCATAACTGTATATACCTCACTGCTTCTGTTTTGCATGTTCGTATTGATTCAGGTGACCTTAATGTTGTTGTTTTGGGGTTTGTTTGTTTTGTTTTTTTGTTTTTTGTTAGATTAAAATTAACGTATATCATCTGAGAGGAAAGTAAAACATATATCACAGCTCAGATATGTACGTTTATACCCTCACGCAGGGAGAACTGCTGTCCGGCAAATGATCTCCTTCACGTCGGCGAAGAATTATATTTCCGGCATTTTAATCTGCGATATTTTATTATTCATTTTTGCGATGTGAAATACATAATTTGAGATGTCAGCAAACTATCAACCTCTTTGTCTTCATTAACTCCACAGCGACCCTTTAATATTAGAACTCTTCGAATCGGTGTCCATTACATTACAACCAACGGTTGTGTTATTTTATTTTTTGCTCTGGGGATATAATATTTATTATAAAAACTAATAATAATTTCAGCAAAGTATTGTATAACTATGTATGAAAGACTAAGCGTAACACAGCCTGGGGATTCATTCATACAAAGTGGGTTGTGTATTTTGTAAAGCCGCCATTGATTTATGATTCCCACGATATATGTGCGTTGTTACATTAATGCAATAAGTACAAACTACGTTGATGGATAGTATATGACATTTGAATTTCTGTCATTTGCCTGACTGTGTCAATATTTCAGTGGCTCGTGATATGTGTGCATTTGCTGATTCCAGCTAGCTCGGTTCACATGAGATGCCCGTTTCATACTTGTAATACACCTTTACAATAGTTTCCTCCCTTTAGCGAAAATGTGCTTACGGGATATCAAAATGGCGTCGATGCGTGAAGGCAATTTCATTCAAAGATAACACTTGTTTGTTATGTCGTATTTTGATATTTGAAGTAACTTCCTAAGCATTCGTATTTTTTGTTATTGACAGACAACTATTAAGTCAACACCGACGCTGTGAACGGCATCTTCGCTAGCCAAGGTCTAAGTTTATTCGGCCAAGCCTCTAAACAGACCTTGGCAGAACGACCATCAAATATGCGTGTTCTAAGAGCGCCTCCCGTAGTCAGTTGCGGCTAATCATTTTCCAATCAGTTTGCGTGTTACAAATCCCTTTTTGGCGTTTCATTTTAAACAAAATGGCGGAGCCCATAAATCGTAATATTTGTGATGATAAAATTGCGAAAGTTGTCGTTGTTGGTGCCCTCAAGCCTCATCAGGTACAGGCAATCGACGCAGTTTTATGTGGGAAGGATGTCTTCATAGCGACAAAACAGGTAGTGGAATTTTGTTTTATAATTTGGTATGTCCAAGCTGACTGGGCGCCTTGTTTCGAGGCGCGCCCAATCAGATCTCACTGCTTAAGATACGCAATTAGCCTATGTGATCCTGCACATTATCGTGTAGAGACCTATAGGTCGAAGACACGAGACCGTGCGATTCGGACGATGTGTGAACGGCGACCTTATACCAAGTATGTCTCGAAACCACTTCGACGCTAGAGGGCGTGACTTGTACATAGAATTTAAATGCGCATGCGCTATAATACAAATGTGATTGGGTTTTACCCCGAACAATTGATTTGTTGTCTGAGGTGACCTTTGACATACACACACATATACGGTACTTACATAATGTATAACATCACTAAACGTAAAAAGCGTGTAAGCTGTTTCAGTAAGTATATATTAAAAATGAAGGTAGATAAAAGAATGATATATTTGAAGAGAGACAATGTGATTCATTTTGAACATGTTGACTTTTGTTTGCTAGTGATATTGTATCTTCAAGTTTTTCAACAATATGTTTCAGATTTATTGTAAAATAAAACATTATTGTGGCACTAAACATAATCAAGTTCTCTGTGTATAATAAAATCCGAGCGCATGTGAATTCGTGTTTTACATATTTTTATTAGACGAATAACGATATTTTTTTCTGCAAAACACTCACATTCCTACAGAAATAAACCATTAAACAAATTATCAAAAAAGCGCAATCTTGTTCACATATCCTTTTTCAGCCATTACCATTATCAATTTTATTGTTAATTATAATTATAAGTTTTATTTCAATCAAACATTCCATAATTAAAAAAAGCTCTTCAAAATTCAACAATCTGTGCACTGACCGTGTCTTTACCCCAAGATGCTCCCAATGTATAAAACCATAATATAGCAGTAAAAAACGCTTCAATAAAACATTGATGTTCCCGTAATTGTACATAAAATACCACGATTTATAATACAGAGTGAACTCTCTATAAAATCATCTGCGTATAAAGAGGTGTATACTAACTAGTCATTCCCCCGGGCAGTTTCTGAGAGTTCATAGGTCTTTATGTTTAAAGGCTTACAGACCGACTATTAGACACATTTTATGACGTCAATAAAGTTAATTTAGTAAGAATGGTGGGAGGTATGAATACTGAATGTGTGCAAGTAATATTTATTGTATTCCCATAATACCGGTACTACAAAATGCCCGTTATTTAAAGCGGGGGGGGGGGGGTCGTCACCTGCGCATGCGTCAAATGGCCATAG